TCTGTGTCTCTGTGTCTCTGTGTGTCTGTGTCTCTGTCTGTGTCTGTGTCTGTGTTTGTGTGTAGCTGGAGGACGAGCTGGAGCAGTGGCTCGATAAGTCGATGAGCTCCGGCGACTGGACTGTAAACGCGCGGCACATCACACGCTCGTGGATCCGTGACGGCCTGAAACCGCGCTGCATCACGCGTGACCTGCAGTGGGGGACACCTGTGCCACACGAGGACTACAAGGAGAAGGTATGAGTGCACGATTGAGAGGTATAAGATGTTATTTCACTAATGTTGCCCATTAATCTGTGCTGACATCATTGTCTGTCCCTGCAGGTGTTCTACGTGTGGTTCGACGCTCCTATTGGCTACCTCTCCATCACTGCAAACTACACCGACCAATGGGAGAAATGGTGGAAGAATCCTCAGCAGGTGCTGGCCAATAACACGTCACTTAAACATTTCTTCATATTTAACCATCTGAATTTGATGCAAATCATATTTGACTTGTATGTCTTCAGATTTGATTATGGTTGTTTGGGGCAGGGTTGTTATAATTAACTAAAGCTGAAATTGAAACTAAAATTAAAATCATTAAAAAAAAAAATTTTTTTTTGCTACTTGAAAAAACGTATGTTAACTGAAATAAAATAAGAACTTTTTTAAAATTAATTTCTCATTTTAATTTAGTTTAACTTGATTTTGTAAGATAACTAAAATTGAAAATGAAATAAAAATTAATATAGGCATAAAAAATTTAAAAATTTAAATGAAAGTGAAATATAAAAATAAAAAATGATTCAAAATATTAATGAAAACTATAATAGTATCTCGATGTTAAAAAAAACCAACATGAAGTAAAATTTAAATATATATTAATAAAAACTATATAGATATATACATATACAAATAAAAATGACAAAAATACACAACCTAACTTCAAAATTAAAATGAAAAAAACTATGAAAATAAAAACTGATTCGGAATATTAATAAAAAATATAGCAGTATCTTGATCAGTATATCAGCAATTTAGGAAATAAAAGCTGATTTATAGTTAATGATGACTGAGTAATTAAAACTTTTCTTGTCTTTGTCAAACTCTGAATTGAATGAAACCCCTGAATTCTACAATGGGGTTTGTTTGAGCCTGTAATGCTCCAGTGTGTCCTGCAGGTGGAGCTCTATAACTTCATGGCGAAGGACAACGTTCCATTCCACAGTGTAGTGTTCCCTTGCTCACTTCTTGGAGCTCAAGACAACTACACACTGGTGAATCACCTCATTGCTACAGGTGAGACCCGAACACAACACAGATGGGATCATTTAAAGAGAATCACGAAACGATGCAGATGATTATATGCATATAGCACTTCATATTAAATATAGCTTAAAGGGATAGTTCACCCAAGAATGAAGATGTGATGTTTATCTGCTCACCCCCTGCAGGGCATCTAAGATGTAGGTGACTTTGTGTCTTCAGTAGAACACATTTTGATGATTTTTAACTTTAACCGTTGCAGTCTGTCAGTCATATAATGCATGGCAATGGTAACAAAATCTATGAGAGTAAAAAAAACATGCACAGACAAATCCAAATTAAACCCTGCGGCTCGTGACGACACATTGATGTCCTAACACACGAAACGATCGGTTTGTGCCAGAAACCCAACAGTATTTATATCATATTTTACCTCTAATACAGCACTATGTCCAACTGTCTTTGAGCGCGCGCACGGCATCCGGTGCGTGAGGTGTGTACGCGCTCTGGCGTAGTTTACGTTAATGGATGTGTTGATATCCAGCCGAAGAGCAATCAACCATAACTTCAGGCGAGCAGGCTCAGAAGTTGGGAATAGTTGGGAAACCCGAATGAGTTCGCGCGAGAGAACGTAATCTTTTAGTTTTAAAGGGGTCATATGATGCGATTTCAAGTTTTCCGTTCTCTTTGGAGTGTTACAAGCTGATTGTGCACAGATAAGATCCCTGAAGTTGCAAAGACTAAAGTCTCAAAACCAAAGAGATATTCTTTATATTCTGTTACACCAAATACACAAACTAATGATCTTTAAAAAAAAGCATCATATGACCCCTTTAAGTCGGTTTGAACAATCCGGATAAGCGCAAGTAAGTACCATTTCGATTAGCCGTCGTACCTACAATGACTGCACTGTGTAACCAATGAGTGACGTATACGCGCGAGAGATCACTTCCGGCGCTTGCGTAAACTACGCCAGAGCGCGTACACACCTCACGCACCGGATGCCGTGCGCGCGCTCAAAGACAGTTGGACATAGTGGTGTATTAGAGGTAAAATATGATATAAATACTGTTGGGTTTCTGGCACAAACCGATCGTTTCGTGTGTTAGGACATCAATGTGTCGTCACGAGCCGCAGGGTTTAATTTGGATTTGTCTGTGCATGTTTTTTTTACTCTCACAGATTTTGTTACTATTGCCATGCATTATATGACTGACAGACTGCAACGGTTAAAGTTAAAAATCATCAAATGTGTTCTACTGAAGACACAAAGTCACCTATTTCTTGGATGCCCCGGGGGTAAGTAGATAAACATCACATCTTCATTCTTGTGAGAACTATCCCTTTAAATAGAGTCGCTTCTGCTCACCAAGGCTGCATTTATTTGATCGAGAACACAGTGAAATATTTGCAAAAACAGATAGATCCGCTTTTAACAATCTTCAAAAATCATGTTTTTTCATTGTGCATTCCAATTAATTTCAATCAAACTGCAGTTGGGTTATTTTGATTACGTTAAAAAATAACTAAAAAATACAGCTAACTAACACAATAAAAGCATGATGGCATAATAAAAAACATGATTTTTGAACATTTTAAAAAACGTAGTTGTCTGTTTTTGCAAATAAACTCTTCTCTCATTTTCGTGCACATCTTTATTTGACCCTCTAACTCTAGCACTCTATTCTAATTCTATTCTTTAAAAAAATGGTCCCTTTTAGACTTGCACTCTATTAATTTACTGCTTGTTTTCTTTTTTAAAAAAACACTAGCTTTAATCTTTTTGTATTCTCTCTATTTGTTTTCTTTTTATTTGTTATACAATTAACAAAAGCAAAAAAGGCCTCTAACACTAGCTTGCGCTATTCTTCTATTCTATCTTTCTTTTTATTTATTATATAATTTTAAAAAACCTTGCTATGTGTGCTGCGTTAAGCTAACTGAGACTTGCTCTTTTGTTAGTTTTGATCACTTCTGTTGTTCTCATTTGTAAGTCGCTTTGGATAAAAGCATCTGCTAAATGACTAAATGTAAATATTATTAGAATTTAAATATGTTTACTATGTGAATATCTGTTCAACTGTATTTTCAGCATCATTCCTCCAGTCTTCAGTGTCACATGATCTTCAGAAATCAGTATAATATGCTGATTTGCTGCATTTTCTGATTATTATCAGTGTTGAAAACATTAATATTTTTGGGGAAACCGTGATGCATGTTATTTTTCAGGATTCACAGATGAATAGAAAGTTCAAAAGAACGGCATTTATTTGAAATGGAAATCTTTTGCAACATTATAAATGTCGTTACTGTCACTTTTGATCAATTTAATGCATCCTTGATGAATAAAAGCATAGCACTTTTGAACAGTCGTGCGAATACTTTCTGATATTTAATAATAATGTGTGTGTGTGTGTTTGCATGTGTCCAGAATACTTGAATTACGAGGACACGAAGTTCTCCAAGAGTCGCGGCGTCGGTGTGTTCGGTGACATGGCTAAAGACACCGGGATCCCGTCAGACGTCTGGCGCTTCTATCTTCTGTATCTGCGGCCGGAAGGACAGGACTCTGCTTTCTCCTGGAGCGACATGGCTCTCAAAAACAACTCGGAGCTCCTCAACAACCTCGGCAACTTCATCAACAGGTTTGTGCAAATGACGACAGAATGATATGTGACCCTGGAGCACAAAACCAGTCATAAGGGTCAATTGTTTTTATTAAATAAGCTAATAAATAAATCAGCTCTCGATTGATGTATGGTTTGTTAGGATCGGACAATATTTGAAAATCTGGAATCTGAGGGTGCAAAAAAATCTAAATATTGAGAAAATCATCTTTAAAGTTGTTCAAATTAAGTTCTTAGCAATGCATATTACTAATCAAACATTAAGTTTTGATATATTTACGGTAGAAAACATACAAAATATCTTCATGGAACATGATCTTTACTTAATATCCTAATGATTTTTGACATAAAAGAGAAATGTATAATTGTGACACATACAATGTATTGTTGGCTATTGCTACAAATATCCCCCAGCGACTTAAATCACAAATCTCAATACTTTCTGGAATTTTGTTGACAACGATAATTAGATGATATTTCGCTGAGCGTGTAGGGCCCTATGAAAACCGTTTAATTTTTTTCCATTTTAGTTTTCTATGTAAATTTCCTCTGACTCTGTTTTAATGGTTAAATTACAAATATTAATCAAAAAGCATGTCTAATAAATTGAAATCATGAAACCGCAATTTATTACCAAATTCTATGTTTTCCATTAATTTTCTGGATTCCGTTTTAATGGTTTCATTACATTTTAATAATCAAAAGCATCTCTAATTAACTGATTTTATTAAAAAAATTACAAATATATATAATTTTTTTTTTTTTTTTTAAATTTTTTCAGAAATTTTG